ATGGAAAATATATATATATATATATATATTCTTCTAAATATTTACAAAAGGACCTAATATAGTTAGTGAGTGTGTGTTGGGTTGTAGGTTTTCAAAGTTGGGTGGTTGTCTAAGGTAGAATTTCTGTTCAATTATACCATTTAAAAAAGTATTTTTTTAATCTATTTGAAAAAAATTTATATCTTTAAGAGATGCAAAAGCTAACATGATTCTTTTAGCTTCAAGTCTAACTATTGGAACAAATATGTTAGTGAAATCTATACCTTCTTAATAATTATAGCTTTGAGCTACTAATCTAACTTTATTTCTTACCACTTTGCTTTCTACATCTAGTTTGTTGATTCTAAAAACCTATCTAGTTCCAATGATGCTTTAGCTTGGGTAATAGAGTCCAAACATTTATTTAGAACTAACGAAGCTTTTCTTGCATGATCAGAATCCAATCAGTCCATAAGGACTTTGTCTATTGCCTTAGGTTCAATCTTTGAAACTAAGTCCTTTTCTCTAAAGGTAGATCTTATCCTTATTCTTTTAGTTCTATCTCTAAGGATTTGGTCTTGAGGATGATATTCACAAACTTTCAATCCTTTTGAGATATAGAGGTATCGTCTACTTGTTTAGTTTGTCCTCTATTTTGGTTATTTGTGTGTCCTATTTCATTTAGTCTAGAAACCTTATTTGGTTCGATTTGAAAATCTACAAATTCCTTTTTTAGATTTGATAGTCTTATATTAGTCGTTAAAAAATCATTAAATCTTACATGGATTGATTCTTCTACAATAAAGATTCTAGAATTGAAAACTTTGTACGCCTTCAAAGTATCAAAATATTTAAGGAAGATACTCATATCCACTCTAGAGTCAAACTTTTCCAATTGATCCTTATTGTTTAAGATGGAATACTCACATCCAAATGGATGAAAGTATGATTTGTTAGATCTTTTCCTTTACAATTTATAAAAGAGTATTTTTCAATAGTAGTCTAATCAATATTCTGTTTTGAATATAGTAAATTATGTTAACAACTTCTGCCCATAAGTACTTGGCAGATGAATTTTCATAAGAAAAATATTCTTGCCATTTCTTGAAGAGTACGATTTTTCCTTTCAACATCCTATTTTATTGAGTTGTTCTCGATGAAAAGAAATTGTGAAAAATATAATTATTTTTTTTAAAAAAAATCTTGAAATCAATGTTTGCAAGTCTTGTCCCATGGTCACTTTTGATGACAAAAATATAAAAACCTTTTTTCATTTTGAACTTTTTTACAAAATGTCTAAAAAACATGAAGAAAAAAAAACTTATGTTTGTGGGCTAGGAAGCAAATCCACGTGTATCTAAAATAATCATCAACGAGTACAAGTTCATATTTTTTTACCATCCAAACTAAGCGTTCTAATTGGTCGAAACATATCCATATGTAACAACTCAAGAGGTCAAAAACTAAAAACAACTTTTTTAGATTCAAAAGATATTTTAACTTATTTTCCCTTCTAACACGCTTCACATAGAAATATGTTTGAATTGATATACCCCATACTTTTTTTGCCAAATCGATTTCTCATCTTCTATAGAAACTAAGTAAGTCACATTTTAATTTGCTCATATCATCTAGTTTAATCTCACACAAATTGTTTTTTCTATAGGTAGTAAACAATATAGACTCATCACTTACAGCTTTTGACTATGTGTGTATCTTTGTCAAAAGATGTAGTATATTCATATTATAAAATTGATTTATGCTAAGAAAATTATATGCAAATTATATCTTAATCCTTCAACATATAAAACATTTTAAATATTAGGTCTAGAATCTTTATCAATCTTACATATACCTTTGATCTTTTTGTTGCTACTTTCTTCAAACGAGATTGTTTCAT